AGGTGTTTTGGACATCTTCAAGTATAGCATACACAATCCTGTCATTCTGAGCCTGAGGTGTTTTGGACATCTTCAAGTATAGCATACACAATCCTGTCATTCTGAGCCTGAGGTGTTTTGGACATCTTCAAGTATAGCATACATGATCCTGTCATTCCGAACCTGGGGTGTTGCCTTTTGGACATCTTCAGGTATGGCGTACACGATCCTGTCATTCCGAACCTGGGGTGTTTTAGACATCTTCAAGTATAGCATACATGATCCTGTCATTCCGAACCTAGGGTGTTGCCTTTTGGACATCTTCAGGTATGGCATACACGATCCCATCATTCCGAACCTGGGGTGTTTTAGACATCTTCAAGTATAGCATACATGATCCAGTCATTCTGAGCCTGAGGTGTTTTGGACATCTTCAAGTATAGCATACACAATCCTGTCATTCTGAGCCTAGGGTGTTTTGGACATCTTCAGGTGGAGAAGAAAGTTTGTCCACTTCAGTGTTGCTTACATTCTTGTCGTGATTCCAGTAGTTTGAAATGCATCACTCTACAGCTACAGCTTCAGATCTGATAACACATATATCTATATCTAACATTGTAGTCCAATTGCCCTAGCCTCCAATGCGGGATATAGGGACCAAGACCCTTTAATTCCAACCCCAAGTTGTGGAACCTCAACTATATGGTTGGGGCTGGTCTATAGTGATAATCACTCATGTACTATTCGCACCCTTGATGTGTAGAGCATACCTGTTCTGGATGTAGTCCGGTTCCCCCACTCGGGTGTCACTAACTTGGTACACCCTTTATCTATGCAGATTCTTTTTGTATGGATAATGCTCTCACTGGCCTCTCCACTTTCTCAGTGTGGGATTCTAGCTATAGTGTCAGCAGATGGTAAGTAGGTTTTGGAAGTTAACGTTTTCTTAAATTGAGAAATGTATTTCCAATAATACTTACCTCTACTGACACTCTTCCACCCTTCCTCCCCACTAAGGGCCAGTGTTAGAGACTGGGATAATGTATGCCTCGAAAAAGTGATAATATGATCTGAATGAGGTGCTTATATACAGTATCAGGATAGAGGGCGCATTGACATAGGTGGAGAGGATATCACAAAAGGCATCTGAGTGGGGGCTACAAAAGACTGGAGCAAATGTTAAAAAAAAAGAAAAAAATCCAATGGTTAGATGGGCAAAGTTGAAACCCTTGGATGTCAAAGAATAGTTATAGTGTCAGTGGAGGTAAATATTATTTGAAATACATTTTTAATTTAGGAAAATGTTAACTTTTAAATTACATCAACTGTTTTATATGGTGTTTGCCTTTTGATAAGGCCATAAGATGGAATTTTGAGGAATTAAAGAATTTTCAGTGGGTACTAACTATTTGTCTTCATAAAACAATATTGCTAATCTACAGATGTTTCAATACAACTTATTGTACACTTTCTACTAATTACTTTTGAAAACCTCATCAGCTTTAGAAAACAAGAACTATAAATTTTGGATTTTTCTTCTGATTGTAAAACTTATTCTGTGTGGAATCAGCCATAAGATTTACAGTAGTTTAGTAAGTTATATTAAACCTGTTCTGAAACCCCATCTCATCATTTCATTCCATGGTTGTTGATGCTCTGTCTGATAGCTGTACTTCTTCACTGTAGCTCTACAGCAGATGGGTTTCCAATTAGTCACTGAATAAAATAGCATGAGTACCCATTTCATTCTTCTGCTGCTTCAACTGTTGAATGGATACGTGAAGAGAGCAGCTTACGTAAATGACTTGTGATGATTTTCCAGCAGAGATCTTTCTTTATTATATTGTATACTTTGCCTGAGGCACATGTATGGCTTTTGCAACTTAGCTTCATGTTCCTGGATTCTTGTCTGTTACAGTATGGCACTCTATTCTTACCACAGTTTGTTGCAGGTATGTCTCTGTGGTTCTGCTTATGAATGGGCAATTAGTGGTGTTTGCAGTAGGTTCATTAAGTAATTACTTTTGCTGTGTAATTTTGTTTTGAACCTTCATAATCAATACAATAATTATGACCTTTACTGACTTGCTTAGTTTTTCTAAGGCCCAGGAATTACTTAATGGAGGTTCCCATCCAGACTTCTTGGGTATTTAGACTAAAGTCGCCTATTTTCAATTATTGTCCATCACGGTTCAGTTTTTCTGGATTCACGGCCATGGCAGTAATTTTGGGAATTGGTGTGATGACACTGCAACAAATTCATCTGATAGTGCTCTGATAGTGTCACAGTCTTACCTATCTCTTATGTTTACTACAGGAATGTTATTAAGGCAGTATTTCACACCAACTGGTGGTTAATTTAGGGGGAGCAACATCACAACATACTTTTCCAGGTAAAACCTTCTCTTGTTTTTTAGCCATCTAGTTTCAGTAAGATTTGGAAGGAGGAAGTTGTCTTGACTTTCTTTTCTACTTCTTTTATATAATTTCTTTAATTCTCACTCTTTACTACCCAGTGTTTTCTGTTGATAGCCCTGATGCTTTGCTTCATAAAGCTTCAGACAATCAGCCAACAAATTTTTTTATATCAGTTTAATATCTATATAAAGCTCAATGTTTTTACTTTCTCCTTCCTTAAATAAGAAAGTGGTTATTCGATGTTTCTTGTCGAATAGTGTCTTTTCTGTTGAAATAAGAAAATGATTATTTAGTGTTTGATTTAGAATAATTTCTTGTCTTATTGTCTTGTATTTTAATCCAAAATATGGAACTACAAGTAACAGAAATGAAACTGTTTTTTTCCTCTTTGTTTTGTTTGCTTACAGAATTCAGGCATGAAAAATGTTGTGTTTAAATAGTTTTAGCACTGTTTACATACATAATCAAGTTTGAAATTAGTGAACTGTGGAGACTATGTAATGATAACACTAGTAGTTACTTTTGTTAACCTTTTCAAATGTTGTTGATTGTAGAACATATCTGTTCAAGTGAAAATGGAGCAGCCTAGTGGTCTGCTACAAGATGATGTTATTTCAACGTTCAGTTACAGTGATGATGAAGATCAAGATAGTTCACAATATAATGTTATGAATGTGAAAACAGAAACTGAATTTCAAAGAGATACTGAATCTGATTTAGAAAGAACATCTGGTAAGTACAAACATCTAAGACTCTAATTCTTAGATGATACCTTACTTCTTTTCATTTAGTAGCTTTTCTCATTCAGTGCTGCCTGCTATCTGCACAATATTTTGCTCACCACTAGCCTTGATAATCCCACTTACTGTCACATGTTTACACATAGTAGAGCTGCATTGTAGCATGCAAGAAGAAGAGTGTGACACATCCTCCTTGTGCAGCCGACTTCCTCTATACTGTAGAATCCAATCTTCACTTCTCGATTTGGCATTCTTGAGTGCAGATGTGTTTACTTTTCTTCTTCCTTCTTTACTTAACACCTCAGTTGTTGGGATTTTCTGGGTAGTGTGTACTTTTTGGCACACTAGTGCCACCCACATCCATATTATACATGACCATCATTTGGTGCTATTGCCACACACCAGTCAAGATATGGGGGGTCTTCCTGACTTTTTGGTATTTGGGGTGTAGGCTGCTCATCGACTTTCCTCTCTTTTGCTGCCATTGGTCTCTCATCTTGCACAGTCCTCTCATACCCTATTCCTGTTTCACATTCTTCTCCATTCCCCTCCTTGCCATTCCCTCTTTCACTGGTTTCAGCAGTGGGGTGCATCTATGGTAAGCATTCCTTCCTGGTCCCTGATTGTTCTTGCATTGTCCTTAGAACTCTCCCTTCTGTTTCTGCCACCTCCATTATCCTCACTGCTCACTCCCTACCCCCTTCATATGATTTATTTCTACCATCTCTACAAAGTGGTGCAAGTTTTTGTGGGCAAGGTCTCTCGTGAATCACCATTCTCTGTGGTTCTTTTCCCAGTTGTATATAATATTTCATTACAGCTGGATGTAGTATTCTTTCATAGTTCTCTCCAACCTTTACTGTTTCATTGGTCTTCCTCTTTTCAGCATGGTGTTTTTCTTCATCCTTAGCTGGGCATTTACTGTGGTTAACTAAAGTGGATGTCTCAGATGATTCCCTTCACTTCCCTTATTCCTTTGCATCCAGATTTTATTTTTATCAACTAATATGGGTTTGTCAATTTTACACTGTATTGTTCAATCTGTCATTGACACCTTATGTCTTCTGTCAATTAGTCAGGGTTCTTGCCTAGCATCATCATTCCAATGTTCTGTGGTTTCATACTAAAATAGATGGCAGGCTGCTTTATGCTCATCACTACATATCGCTGGAGCTCAGGGTTACCAAAGAATTTCTCTCCCTAAGAGCGAGGTTCTATCTCTTCCGGGTATTTTGGCATCAAAGGAAGCCCTTCTTCCCTTCGGTCTTGCACACATTTGAGGTCTTCTCTGAGTGTTGTGTAATATATGGATTCTCACTCAGAATCTGTTGGTCTCCCCTGTCCTCCTGCCTTCCCTAGATCAATTTTGCCTGGTGGCCCATGGAGAGAACACCTCAGCTAACATTCCTCAACCTTCTCCTTATCCTGAGTTCTTTTTCTCATATGCTTTTATTACAGGTTGGAGGTCATATATGGGTTTTCATGAGGTCAGGGGTTATTAGTTGTTCATCGACTCATCTCAACTCTACAATTCCTTCTATTGGTACTTCTTACCATTTATCAGCCATTGGATCATTTTCTCTCATCAGTACAGAGCCATTTGGTCTTGATCTATTATGACAAATCAATACTTGTGTCAAACATTGACCAGCGAGGGGTCACCCATATCTGTTGGCTTTATTTTCAAACATGGAATTTACTTTTCAGGGCCCTGTTTTACCACAAATGACTATTGGCTTGTCTCACCTAAGGTGCTCTACATCTTGTTGCTAATGGGTTATCCTATCCTGACACTAATCATGTCATGGGGTTAGCAGATGATCCTTAGTTGTATCAGTGGTTGTACACCCAGTAGGATACTCCTCTGGCCACATTTATCACACACCTCACTTCCCAGTTCCTTCTCTTTTGTCCCCTGATTTCACTTACTTTAGCCTTGGTAGTAAAAACCTACAGATGGGATTGGACCAATCTTTATTTTTCTCTCTATCCTCATGTCCACATCCCTTCCCTGAGTTTTGTCTCTCATCCACACCTCTCTCTCTATTATTTTTGCCCCATATTGGCTTGCTCATCCATTGTTTCCACTGCTTCACCTCTTTCAGCCTTACCCTTAATTTCCACTTCCTCTTTCTTGCTCCTTTCTCAGTCACCCTCAGTTGTCTGTGTTATCCAACCATTTCCACCCTTTCTCAGTCACCTCCAGTTGTCTGTGTCATCCCACTATTTCCACCCTTTCTCAGTCACCTCCAGTCGTCATCCAACTATTTCCACACACCTGGCTTCATGTGGTATTTTTGCAGTCTGTTGTAAGATAATTGGAATCCTCACACATGTAGTGAAGCATTTGTATTGAAACTACAAATGCCTCTAGCAAGGAAAATTGACTTTTCTATGTATGCCTTACATACAAGTCATTTGTAGAAAGGACCTGCACATTAAGAAGCATATAATAAATGCATTATACAGAAAATTATCCAAATAAGGGAATGTTTTGTTCAAGTATAATATACAAGTGGACTGAGATGCATTACCTACTGTGACATTATGAGTTGATACCAGCAGTTTGTCTTGTCTGTATAAACAGACATGATAGTTGCAAAGAGGAAGACTACAGAAAGTTTGTTGCTTGCACTAACTACAGAAGTGAATTGATAAACAAAAAGCAGATACATGCAATTTGGCAGTCAGTTAACAGATTCTGACCATATTCAGTTAATGCCCAGTTTTGATTTTGGTTCAATAAAGCAACAAAATTAAACCAGTTAGATGAAGGACGTACTTGTAAACTGGGCATGAAAAGAAAAATGTATAAAACTGCATGTATTCGGGTTTAAAGTTTGTTATCTTTGGCATTTTATGAGCACAGATGAACCTGCACCAGTTCTTTCTGGTATTTTATGAGGGCAGTCAAATCCACACAAGTTCTCCTCAGCATTTCCTGTAGTCTCTCTGAAGAATTAAGAAGGCAAAGTACCTCATTCTAGTTAGAACCACATCGCCACTTTGAGTAGACAAACTCTTTGTAAGTGTTGAATGTGACCCTCTCAAGTTTAACAATGTATAGTATATCATGTTCGCTTTGTGATATATTATTTTAAGCCATAATCGAGAAGCCAGACTACCTCATACCAATTAGAACCACAACATCACTTTGAGTAGACAAACTCTTTGTAAGTGTTGAATGTGACATCTCTAGTTTAACAATGTATAGCATATCATTTTCCCTTTGTGAACTACTATTTTAAACAAGCTGTCTAAAGTGAATTATTTCACACCATAGTTTATTGGATAATTTGTTCACTATAGTGATAAAATTAATGAATCTTATGGAAGGCTTAACCCTATGGCCCCTGACACCATTTTTAAATTCCTTCCTGCTTATGATATTGTATTATATTCAAAATTGAATTAACCCTTTCATTATAGATGGGTTTATCTGCTCATGTCTCAGTCTTTTAGCAAGTTATTTTCAAAATTAATTAATGTACTTTTTGTTTATATTATACCAATTAGTATAGCATAAAATTGTGGTCAATAATCCATATTTTAACAGTATACAAGTTTTATGTTCTTAATTTTATATGGCAATATTTTGATAAATCCTGAATTTCCCTTTGTGTGAGAAATGTGACATTTTTTTCTAGGCATCCCATCTTCTCTGTTTTATTCACAACCCCTCCAATAACCCCCTCACTATATAATCTTCATTGCTCAGTCAAACCATAATATTTAAAGCCTTCAATTTTGTTTGGTTACATAACTATCAAATTAAAAATGAGACTTCTCTTGCAACATCCACCTGTCACACTGTATCTTTCAGGATTTGTTAATAGTTCTTTCTCATGTTTAATTCTATATTTTGTATAACCAATAGAAAGCCAGAATTTTCATCTATCAAATTACATATTATATTACATTGTTTTCTGAACAGAGAATTGTCAGTTTCTCAGTTAGTACAAGCTTCATTCCCATGGGATGAATAATGACTAACTTGGATGAATTTACACTCTACTCCACCAATGGTTAATTTGAAATTGGCACTGTTTTCCTCACAGTGAACATGTAAGTGCTATTAGTTTGTTGTCTGCTTGATCAACTACCTTACATAAATATATTATATTTAGAGAGTTAGGTCTTACTTCATTGTTTTAGTTAAATATGTATTATTTTTGTTTTAAAGGTATAATGATTTTTTATAAGATTATCTTATTGTTGCCTGGATTGTAAAATCTTATAAACAAGATGGCATCATTCTGGTGTGCAAGTTATTAGTGAAACAAGTCTCTGAGTGGAAGTTACCGTATAATAATAATAATAAAGCCCCAAAGGTACTTGTTGACATATCCAGCATAAATAATAAAAGACAAAGAATTGGAAAGGAAAATTAAAAATAAACTAAGTGAAGAGATAAAGACATGGAATTACACATATTAAAAATCAAGTTTCAAGAGACTTCTACAAGGAGCTAAAAGGTTTGCACATATTTCCATTTCTTAATTTTAAACATTTAATTGCATTGTACATTGATGATGATAGGTAGAGTTAATGATATAGTAGAGAAAATGGAAAATAAAGTATAAACTTAACAAATGTTTAAACAATCTATTCATTTAAAAAGAATTGTTTTTATTAAAATTAGTAGAAAAATAAAAATAGAATAGTTTATTTTTCTGAAACTACAAACTTTTAGGGACATTCTTGATAAATTTTAAATAATTTCATCCTCTAGTTTTATTTTTCAAACGAAATACGATGAGAATAACGTTAGCTCTTGAGAAACTTGGTCTGATAGGGCTAATCAATGAGCAGTTACATGAATGAAACAAAGAATTTAACATTTTTGATGTAGACGTATTCCAAGATAATTTTGGTGGTTTCGATATCAATGAATACTTTGAATATGGAGATTGAATAAAGTATTGCTTGTTGTTTTATTATCAGACTCCATATCAGTTTCTTAGTTCCAAATGTAAATTCCTCTAGTTGGTG